CGGAAGCCGATGCTGGCTCGTCTGCTTGAGCCGCGAGGCTCACACTTCGTTGTGCGTGGGGCTGTCACAGGGCGGCTCAGTGGCCACTGCTGGACGTCCACAGTCGGGTGAGTTTAAGACCCTTCCTGTCCTTGAGCAGAGCGGGGTTTGTGGTAGGAGTGTAGCCTTGGCAGAGGGCGCCGGCAGTTGGGTGTGTGGTGGTGGCCAGCGCCCCGCGCCGCCCAGCTGGGTGTCCGTCACGGGGTGGCTGGGTCGCGATGTGGAAGTCGCCTGGCTGCGCAGGCGCCGGCCAGTCTCAGCGCCGCAGCCTCCTCCTGGCGCTCAGTGCCGCCTTCCCTGCAGATTGCTCCCTGTGTCTCGGCACGTGAGCCCACCGCGATCCCAGCACAGTGCGCGCCGTAGGGGCTTCCAGAGGGAGAGACCACGTTCGCTCACTGTTCGTAACAGCTGCTGCTGTCTGGCGTCAGTTCTTGCTGCTAACACCGGGCCTGATGCTAAAGTAGCTTCACGGCAAGGGGTGTGCCCCGGAAGGAGCAGTGCATTGCCGAGCGCCCGGTGGGGGGTGGGCCTGAGCCACAGCTTCCGAAGTGGGGGAGGGAAAGTTTGTCCTCTGTGGGAGCGCCTGTCTGCATCCACTGCTCACGACAGCGGGGCTCACCCTGTAACCTGTCGGCGCGGCCGGCTTACGCGCTGGCGTTACTGCTGGCGGTGTCACTGCCATGGTGGGGCGAGTCAGGACCGGACGAGCTCCTGCGCGAGTCTCCTCCCCATTCGCTGCGCGCTCAGTTCCGTGTCTGGTTCTAGTGGTAAAAGGACACGAGGAGATGAGAGTGAAATCTAAAAGACGGATCCCCCCGCACCCCAGTGGGCGCCCGGGATGTGGAGGGCCGGCCGCTGCCGCGCGTGGCTGCCCGGGGTACTGGGGCTCCTGCTGCGTCGCTAGTGGCGACGCACAGTGGTGCAGCCACTTTAAAACGCCATTGGCAGTTTGCTCTCCAGTCCCCCGGCCACCCCGTGGGTGCAGTTTGGAGGCTCTGGGACTGGGCAGCTGTCCCGCTGAGGGGCAGGGCTGTGGTGGTTTGGGCGGTAGCTGCAGCTGTCGGTGGACCTCGCCGGGCTTCCGTGACAGCTGTGCATTTAGAGCGTCATAGTTGCGCCTGGGAGTTGGACGTGCGTCCGTGTCTCCCCGAGGCAGATGCCTCCGGTCGGATGATCACGTGACTGGTAGGCATAGTTCCTCACAGCATGCTCGTTTCTGTCCTTGTCAGCATGGCGTGACTTTCTGGAGCCCAGAACGGCGGAGGCTCTGGGCTGGCGGGTGGCGGTTCGCCCTAGGACTGGACTGCGAGTGGAGGTGTGGCGGGTGCTGCCCCGGAGCGCCTGTGTCGGGGCGGCGCCGCCCTGCCCCCTCAGTCCCCGCGTCTGCCTCAGGGAGGCGTTTCTCCCGGTGGCTGTCATCAGGCACCCTGCTGCCGTGTGGCAGGGATGAGCACGGTTGGGGGCTGGGGGCAGTGACTGCAAATCGCAGAAAAAGTCCACTTGTCGCTCACCTGTAACCCACGTGTTAGCAGATGTTTGCCCTGTGCCTGCCCCTCAGTACCCTGTGTGCCGGCCATGCAGGATAAATAACCAGTTCTGATGAGTCTGCACCCTGGGGGCACAGACGCAGTGGAAATCGGGACTAAAATAGTACACGTGGAAATGGCGTTTCCATGGGCGAACGGAAGCCCGGTGCTGAGGCAGGGGCAGGCTGTGCGGACCCTCGTCGGCGCCACGGAAGTGGGACCGCGTTAACTGAACACCAGCGTGGCCCAGCTCTGTGCCAGGCGCCCAGGCGGTGGGCTGTCCCGCCCCAAAATTAGTCCGGTGCTGTTATCCTGACTGTACCCGGGAGGCTGTTGGACTCAGAACACTGAGCTTGTCCAGGGCGACGCATTAGGTGACAGAAATGGGCTGCGCCTTAGCTTGGCGCGCAAGGCGGGCCGCGCGACTGGCAGCCAGACCTCGGCCCGAGACATTTGGCATCTGCTTTACAGCTCACTGGTTAGTCTTGACAAGTAGAATGAAATAAAAATAAGCCAAGAGACTGTTGCCTTGCTCCAGAGAATGACAGGAGTAAACTGATGGAAAGACCGAGGCCACAGCCCACAGCACACTGTAGACAGCTTAGCTTCTGTGTGGAGAGCGCGGCTGAGCGCCTGAGCGGTGTGAAGTGAAGTGTGGGTGCTGTGAGTAAGTAAATACGCCAGAGTCTTCCTGACAGATGTTAGGAATTCCGAAGAATTCATGGTTCATAGTTTTGACTTTGAGTCTCGTGTATTTAACCCATGTAGTAACAGCACTCTAGCTGGGCCTCTGGCGGCCTCAGGGGTCACCATTTGAACCCCCTTCTGTAGCGAATGCTCACTGCCTTCCAGGGCCCGCCAAGCCAGACAGTGTCGAAGCTGAAGTTCCTTCTCGCGATAGAGTTCAAGGCCACAGCCCACGGCTCTTGGGCTTTTGTGCACGCTGACCCCAGGTGTAACTGCAGTGAGGAATTTATTTTCTCCTGTGGAGGATTCTTCAGATGTCTGGAAAGTGCATGAAAGGAATTCTGATCTCCCTAGGCACATTAAGATGACTAAGACTTCAAAAATATTAACACTCTTATCCACAAGGAAAAGATCTGAGGAGATAATTTTAGCAGCAGTGAGCGCCACGCCACTCAGTCTCTGTGACCCTGTTCGTGGCACTGTCTAGCTTCAGGAGTGTGGCTTTTGCACAGGAGATGGTAAGTGCAGCACGGCTCTTGTAAAAGGTGTGAACAGCCCCGTCGGGGGGTGGGGGGGCGTGTAGCATCGACTCCCAGGGTCTCCGTGTGACGGGAATGGGAGCAGCAGGAAGTCTGAAACTTCATTTTAGGTGAACTTCAAGCCTCTTGAACTCTCAGCCGCCCACTTGGGGCCTGGCTCTCTTCAGGGCACTTCCCGCGGGGTGGGTGGGGTGACGTGCGCTGAGGGCCGGGGTAAAGCCCCGGTCTTGGGGGTGAGGCCCCCGAGACCGTAGGCGACTTGGGAGACATGTTTTCGTGAGCCTCCTCCACCATCTGTTTGTGCCCAGGTAGGACAGCAAACACCTCTTAGGTTATGTCACTAATGTACTGCAAATATTTTCCTTTAAACAAATGAGTGATTTGTCCTGGCGGCTTGAAAGCCCCTAAGTAAATTGATCACAAACTGCTGGGGAAGGTGACCGGCTTGACCGTGCTGCTCATTTAGCGGGAAGGCGGCGGCTTGGCACCCTGCGGTGTACAGGAGCGTGTGTGCTGGGGCCGCTGACAAGCAGCTGACTGTGCTGGCCCCCGGCCCCCACCCCCGCCTCCGAGCTCGTGACTTCTCGGGAACACGGGGGGAGGCCGTGGGTAGGGTGGCCACGGAGTCTCACTCGACGAGTGAGGTAGATGTGCTGCGTGGGCAGCTGGACGTTCTGTTTGTGGCATTAACCTGTCAGAGGGCTCTGGGCAGGTGAGGAGTGGTGAGGAAAACAGCCGCGAGGCAGCGGCCGGTCCGCGTGGGTGCCGGAGGGGCAGTGTGAAGGGCTCGGAGCAGAGGGCGCGGGCGGGCGGCGCCGG